TCTGGCGTAGGCTGGTCCATGAGGTCACGAAGAGTCGGAGACGACTGAACGAATGAACAACAACAACATGGGCATTCTCTCCTGACATTTTCTGAGGATGCCTGCCATATATGTGGGTTAAATCTCTGGAGAGAATGCTTATGGAACATGGCCATTCAGCCTGGAAAACTCACAGCAACCTATTGTAATTTGTTTCCTTTTGGGTTTGTTTTCTGAACTATTAGCTATAAGAAAAAGTAACTAACTGGGGGGAAAGCTGGCCTGTGATAAACTATGATTTTTCTGCTTTGGTAGCAATTTCAAAGGCAAATTTGAAATTGGATCCAGACTATTTAAAGGTCCATTATTTTTATCTGTCCTGTCACCATCATAGACACTATCAGTGAAAACATGAGAAAGAGTCTGCTGCTCTTGGGCTCCTTCCCACAGATCTGCTTGGCCTCGTTCTCTAGCTTCTTTGTACCTACAGGCACAGCCCTTTTATTTAGTCCCGCGTTCCATATTTAAAGAAAAGCTTTCCAAACATTTCATGTATGTTACATTCATTTTAGGCATGTATCATTTTGCCTCACAGTAATTCAGTTTTACTAGCAAACTGGAGGTTAAACCAACTCCTTATAAAAAAATATACAGATTTATACAAATTGTAATAACAAAATGTTTGGAAGCACAACATATCTCATGAAAACTTTGGATTTATATATATTTTTAAAAAATGCTTTATTGCTTATTTCATGTAGACTTTTGTGTGGCGCGCCTACACACTACTTGTTACATTTGTGTGACACACCTACACACTGCAGCCACACACAATAGTTCTCAACCTGTGGGTCGCCAGGTGTTTTGGCTCACAACTCCCAGAAATCCCAGCCAGTTTACCAGCTGTTAGGATTTCTGGGAATTGAAGGCCCAAACATCTGGAGACCCACAGCTTGAGAACCACTGATAGAGGACTTGGGGCGGATTCCAGCATACAGAAAAACAAAGGCAAACATTCAATTCCTTGAAAGGGAATTGCGTCAAATATATCATATAATATTATCCCGCTGAGCAATGTTTGAATTTTAGTGCTGTAATGTAAATATGCATATTTTGTGTAGCTTTTCCCTGAATGTTGTTTTATATATGTGAAAAATATGTATGCTGATGTAATATTATTTTTAAAAATTGGTAAGGATAAGGGATACTAAAACCTGCACTGTATCTTCAGCCCGAAAAAGCAGCACCTCACAGTTAACATAAAACTCAATTTTAAACTATGGATTCAATTTTATATTAATATTGCTGTTCTACAAAAGGATCTATCTAGAATACTGATTTAATGCTGCTTGTCTACTCCATCTGACATGGCTCAATGCCATGGAATCCTGGGAGCTGTAATCTTACAAGGTCTTTAGCCTTCTCTGTCCTTTGGGGTTTTTTTTGTGTGTATCAGGAGCGACTTGAGAAACTGCAAGTCACTTTTGGTGTGAGAGAATTGGCCGTCTGCAAGGACATTGCCCAGGGATGCCCGGATTTGTTACCATCCCATGGAAGGCTTTTCTAATGTTCCCTCATGAGAAGCTGGAGCGGACAGACAGGAGCTCAACCTGCTCCCTGGATTCAAACTGCTGACCTTTTGGCCAGCACAGTTCTGCTAGCACAAGGGTTTAACCCACTGCGCCATTGGGGGGAGGGGAGGGAGTTCTTTGTCCTTTGGTGAGGCACCAGCACTTTCCTGGAGGAGACCTTGTAAAACTATAATTCCCTGAATATCCTGAATATATGGCAGTTAAGAATGTGCATTAATTCGACAACACAGATGATGTCCATGTGCCAATTCTAGAGACAAATAAAAATATCATAATCATCTCTATTCTCTAGAGCAGGCATGGGCCAACTTGGGCCCTCCCTCCAAGTGTTTTGGACTTCAACTCCCACCATTCCTAACAGCCTCAGGCCCTTTCCTTTTCACCCTCAGCCGCTTAAGCGGCTGAGGGGGAAAAGGAAGGGGCCTTTGGCTGTTAGGAATGGTGGGAGTTGAAGTCCAAAACACTTGGAGGGAGGGCCCAAGTTGGCCCACACCTACTCTATAGCAATTAAACACTCTCCTTGCCAAGTTTGCCAGCCCCCTTCAGTCTTCCCGTGGCCTGGGATTCCAGACGCCCCCTTCAAAACAGCAGGGCCGAGGGCCAGGAAGTGTGTGGCGTGGCATCCTGAAAAGCCTCCCCCTCCCCGCTCCCTCACAGCCAGGGGCCCCCACCAGAGAGGGGCGAAGGGTTCACTCACTAATGCGAGCTCTGCCAGAAGTTCCCTGCCATGAAGAGGGCGCGGGGCTCGCTGCCGGGTCTCTTCCCTGCCGACCCACCCCGGGCTCTCTCTTCCAGGAACAGGAAGGACTCGGCAGCGCCCACCCGGCCACCAAGCTCATCAGGGCAGCGGCAGCAGCAGACTCGGCCCCGGGGCTGCGCGCGCTTACTCTGTGTCCCGGCCTGCTTCCGCTGCCGCGCGCATCCGTTCCGGGGAAGAAAGGTTCCGCCCCTCTCAATAGGGACAAGCCACATTCCCGCTTCTCCTGGACTTAGTAGTTGAGGCTAAAAGGGTGAATCCATGCTGTAGAATGAATGCCTTTCACTGCCACGGCTTAATGCTAGGGAGTCCTGGCAGTTGTAGTTTTATAAGGTCTCTCGCCTTCTCTGCCAAACAGGGCTGGTGCCGGAAAACGGAATATTGGTGGACAGGAAAAGAGATTTAAAGATGGGCTCAAAGCCAACCTTAAAAACTCTGGCATAGACCCTGAGAACTGGGAAGCCCTGGCCCTTGAGCGCTCCAGCTGGAGGTCAGCTGTGACCAGCAGTCCTGCAGATTTTGAAGAGGCACGAAAGAGAGAAACGTGCCAAGAGGAAGGCGCGTCAAGCCAACCTCGACCGAGACCGCCTTCCATCTGGAAACCAATGCCCTCACTGCGGGAGAAGATGCAAATCAAGAATAGGGCTCCACAGTCACCTGCGGACCCACAAGAATACTGATCCTGGAAGACTATCCTGCTCAGCCAACGAGGGATCGCCTAAGTAAGTAAAGTAAGGTGCCTCACTAAGCTACAGCTCCCAGGATCCCATAGTATCTTTATTTATCGTGTCTGAAGCAAATTGAGAATAAAGTTATAATGTTAAAGTTATAATGCATTTAAAATGTATTTATGTATCTATATAAATAAAAATGTAATGTTCGTTTGTGGGATTAACATAACTCAAAGACTACTGGACAAATTGACACTAGATTTGGACACAATAAACCTCTCAGGCCAACCAGTGACCATCACTCATAAAACCACTGAAAAAACAGCAGAAGAGACTTAAAAAGCCAAAAGAAAAACACAAAACATTACAACACATGCGCAAAACCACACATATACACAAATACATATACACATATATACACACACGAAACACACATACACAGACGGGCACAGCAACGCTTGGCAGGGGATGGCTAGTTTATAATGTATTTTTAAAACCTCAAACAAAGTTAAAACCTTGGCATTATGCTACTGAAGAGGACAAGGGACCTGATTTCATTTGATTAATAAATAATAGTAATAATAATTAAAATAATAATAACTTTACTTTTGTATCCCGCCACCATCTCCCCAAAGGGACTCGGGGCAGCTTACATGGGGACCAAGCCCAGACAAGCAGAAATTAAAATATAACACAGTAAAATTCAACTACAAAACATCATAAAAACATAACCATCAACAATCAAAACAACCAATAGCCTAACCTAGAGGCCATATATTGAGCTGAGGGGCGAGGCAGGGGCTTGAGCAAAACAGTTGGAAGGGCAGGGCTGATAGGAAAATGCAGGTATGAAGTATGAAGAATAGTTTGATTAAATAAATAGTCTTAGCCTTAGAATCAATTGAAGATTGTCTTAGTGTTAGAAGAATTTAGCCATGAGAAACACACACAAAGGGAAAGGCTCACATAAACAGAACATTGAAAACATGCACCAAATGGAACCCTAAGGAGAGAAGCAGGGCAATAAACAGGCCTACATTTCGTTTGACCAGAAGCTTTCCACTTGGAGTGCCTCTGGTGTCACTGTAAGAAGGCCCTCCATTGTGCATATGGCAGGACTCAGACTGCATTGTAGTAAGTGGTTCCTTACTACACACTTGCCCTTTTCCACATTTGCATATCGTGGACTCCAATTTGTAGCCCCATTTCTTAAGGTTAGCTCTGTAACTCGTGGTGCCAGAGCGCAGTCTGTTCAGTGCTTTCCAAGTCACCCAGTCTTCTGTGTGCCCAGGAAGGGAGTTTCTCATCCGGTATCAGCCACTGATTGATGTTCTGAGTTTTAGCCTGCCACTTTTGGACTCCAGCTTGCTGAAGTGTTCCTGCGAGTATCTCTGTAGATCCTAAGAAGCTATTTCTTGATTTAAGGCATTTGCTTGCTGACTGATATCCGAACAAAGGATGGGCTGGATATGTCGACGCCTTGGTTCTTTCTTTACAGGCTGCTACTTCCCAACGGATAACAGGTGGCGCAATACCGGCTAAACAGTATAATTTCTGCAGTGGTGTGGGGCATAGACATCCTGAGATATTCCACATTGGGCATGCACATTCAGCAGCAGAATAGCAAAGGCCAAGGGCAAATGTCTTCACTGTATCTGGTTGTGATCCCCAGGTTGTGCCAGTCAGCTTTTGTATGATATTATTTCTAGCACCCACTTTTTTGCTTGATATTCAAGCAGTGCTTCTTATAGGTCTGAGGTAACTCCCAGGTATTTGGGTGTGCTGCAAGGCTCTAGTGGGATTCCTTCCCAGGTGATCCTCAGAGCTTGAGATGCTAGTCTGTTCTTAAGATGAAAAGCACACATCTGCATTTTAGATGGATTAGGGATCAGCTGTTTTTCCCTGTAATAGGCAGTAAGAGCACCTAAAGCTTCGGAGAGCTGCTGTTCAACCATTTCAAAGCTCCCATAGCATTAAGGTGTGGCAAATAAAATGGTGCCAAACTGCATTAATTCAACAGTGTCGATATACCCTGAGAGATAGAAACTGATGCAATCATTACTGTTCTTATTATTGTTGTTACCTATTATCTCCACATAGTGGGGGACAGCAGCATATCAAAATACATGAACTATCAGCTTAAAATACATAATGTAAGTTTTCGCAGGCCCCTTCTACACTTAATTTAATACAGTTTCAAACTGTTTTTTAAACGTTATTTTACTGATGATTACGTAGAAAATCCTGGAACCAATTTGAGGCATGGATGATGAAAATACAAAAATCACAGAGCACTGATGCACACATAAAGGGCTTTATTCCACATACTTTTGTGGGAGTATGTTGTCTCGCCGCCACAGTTTGAAGAGGTTAACTTTGAGCTGTATTAAATGGTTAGTGCAAATGAAGCCATAGACTATCAGGGTGCATCCCTTTAACTGCCAGGGCTCAATGCTATGCAATCATGGGAGTTGTAGTTTTGTAAGCCATCATCCCTCTTTGCCAGAGAAAATTCAATATCTTGTAAAACAGTAGCTCCCATGATTCCATAGCATTGAGCCATGGCAGTTAAAGGGATGTCAAACCACACATTTTGCATTCCCATGGCTACTCACACAATCTGCTTACACACTTCCTTGCCATTGTCCCTTGACCTTCACTGCATGCATTTGGGGAAGCAGAACGAAAGTATATGCTACCAACTTTTTTTCTCAGTCTGTCTAAAAGTGTCTACCATTGCTCTGTAAAGGAATTAACAAAATCAGTCATGTATAAGCCTTTAGTAGTTACAAAATAAACCAGAATGTGTCTAATGAGGATATCTGATGCAATGACACAAAAAACACTAATTCAGGTAACGTTCTTGTAGGACATTTATCTTCTGTTATAGATGTATTGAATTTCCTCATGGCACGTCTGTAGCACTAGGGAAATTGTGAATGCATCAGGCTCATTGTTGCTCTGAAGTGCCAGTGCTGTGAGAAGAGATGACACAATTCCTAAGGGGTTTCATGTTTTTCATGATCTTGCATCATCACCATCACCAAAAGCTACATAACCATATACAGCAGTGGTTCCCAACTTATGGATCCCCAAATGTTTTGGCTTCCAGTGATCCAGTTCAGCATGGGGCTCTTTCACATGACATAGTTACAGTGCTATGATTCCACTATAACTGCCATGCCAGTATCCTAAGCAATCCCAGAATATGTTGTTTAATAAGAAACTAGAGTTATCTGGCTAGGAATTTTAATTACACTTCCAAAACAACAAATTCCAGGATTCCATTAAATGGACCATGGCAGTTAAAGTGGATTCATAGTGCTTTAACTCTGCACCTAACTAGATTTCCACATTTCTTTTCAAATTCACCATTAGTTTCTTGTCAAGAATGTGTAGAGCAAAGCCAGAAGAAGAAGAAATCCTGTTGTTCCATTTTTACTGTTGCAGATGCCTGAGAGGCCTGTCACAGTACATTAAGGCATTCTGTCAGGAGGGTGGGATATGCATAATGGGAATATGTATACATCTGTCCCAATTCATACAGCCTAATGCTGGAGCTAATGTGCCTGCCAAGGATTGGGTTGTACAGCAACCAATCATTGCTTCTTTTTGTAATTGTAGAAATGTCTTGGAAATGAAAGGTAAGATTTTAAATCCTTGTCAACAGTGAGATTTTCAAGGATGATATCCATTCGGGCTATAATGAACATTGCATTCTATTGTATGTATTTAGCACATTTGTATGTTAATCTGTTTTAGAAACATGAAAATCAAATAAAAAGGGTGTGTGTGAAAAGAACAAAAATGTGAAGTAATTAAGACTATGATCATGGAGCAGGCATATACATTAATGCAAGTCAATTGTATGTAAAAAAATGTTTTTGAAACTGATGCCTTTAAATATATTTCCTTTTAATGTTATTCACACATTCAGAGTTAAACATGTAACCCACGAGTGTAATCTGAACCACATTGTTCCAAGTCTACCTATTGCACAAGTTCTCTAAAGGCTTGGTCACAAAGCCACGTTTTCACTCTCCTGCGGAAAGTCAGGAGGGAGGGGATTGATCTAATATCCCTGGGAAGGGAGTTCCACAGCCAAGGGGGCCACCACTGAGAAGGCCCCGTCTCTCGTCTCTGCCAATCACACCAATTGTTGTTATTGTTATACAATACAAGTAGATATAATAATAAATAAATATAATTATTTGCATCCCGCTCTTCTTTCTCATTCCAGACCCAAAGCAGTCACACTGCAGAATTATATTATTATTATTTTACTGACACAAAAACACAATATGTCACAGCAAATGAGATCTATATGCTGGATTTCGTATCACAAAATCACAAGTTGAACACTTCCCAAACGTCTAGGACTGTGTGATGTATTTTCGAATGATGCGTGCAGATCCAAGTAAGGTGGCCTTTTTTAGCTGACAGATTGTGATTTTGTC